ACACACTGCTGGCCTCCGTTGCTCTTTTATTTAGCTTCCTTCTCGCACCCCGCTGGTCCTGACAGCGGACCAGCGTCTCCTCGCGCGTGCCCCTCACTCGCTTCCTCGTCAGCTCCTCCGGCTCCCCCACTCCGCACACCGCTGGCCGACGGGCGTTCCGAAGCTCTTCCAGCCACGTGGCTGATGGCGCGGATCCCCTCCGGCCACCCAACGTGGTTCAGCTTCTTCACTCCAACAACTGACCCGGAGCCCTTCCAGGCTTCCACCTATATCCCCTTCACCACGTGATCCTGTCTCCTCCCCTTCCGGATCGTCACATCCGGCCTTCCCATAGCGCCCTGCTGGCTCCACCCCCGTTCACCTCGCTTCCGATTGGACCCGAGGTGAACGGCGGGCCCTCCCATACGCCCTCCATACTGGGCTCCGCCCCCCAATACCCCGGGCCGTATGATTGGGCCAGAGCCCAGCAGCGAACCCCGTTTACGCTCGCATGACATACGTAAGGCGCTGGGCGAGATGTTGGGGATATTTAAAAGCACCCGATAAACGCAAATCCACATTCCCCAAATCCGTATTCCCTTGTCCCCCACACGAGCCAGACGTCTTGCGGAAGCCACGCAGACTCTACCGCAACCGTGTGAAATGTACGCGGATGAATTAGTATGCCCCAACAGATTCCGTTCTCTGTTTTGAGTATTTTTTGCGGGGAGTAAATTGATTAATGCCGTGTTTGCCAAAGCGTAAACAATTGCGGTGGGCTGCCTTCTGTTCATGTATATGCTAATCAGTCATAATCATAAAGCCTACTCCACTTGTGGGGAGTGCACGTGGAAATGCCGTGCAACTTTTTCTCTGTTTGTTTTGTAATAATTGCTTTGTTTCAACATTGATTATCGCGGTATACACGATTAACACCGTACTAAAATCGTACAGACGGCGCATTACGGGCAACTCCGCGAGTGGCTACGCATGTGGCCTGCAAACCAGCACAGCGAGAGTTTGCGTGGGTCGCAGCACACATTCGGGGAAACTTCACTGCCTACCCACGGACGGCGTGTGGTTGCCGTGCCCTGTTGGCCAGGGTAAGTAAGGCAGTTGATTAAGCGGGTTCGTCCCCATCTGTATCGGGATTGAGTGCAACCCGCTCCCCAGTCCCTGCACACTCGTGGGCTTTTGTGGCGCCGCAGGTAACGAGATGTTAATTACCTCGCCTGGTGTACAGGAGGTCGTGGGTTCGATCCCAACCCTGACACCTGCTGCTGTATATTTGAAATTTGCGTATCTCTCTCTCATCATCATCATCACGGTGGCTTGGATATGTTAACTACCTCGCCTGGTGTACAGGAGGTTGTGGGTTCGATCCCGACCCTGACGCCTGCTGCTGTATATTTGAAGTTTGCGTGTCTCTCTCTCATCATTATCACGGTGGCTAGGAGATGTTAACTACTTCACCTGGTGTACAGGAGGTCGTGGGTTCGATCCCGACGCTGACGCCTGCTGCTGTATATTTGAAGTTTGCGTGTGTCTCTCTCTCTCCCCTCGAATGGCGTGTGGATTTTAGGGTCCACTTTTGGCAAGGCGCGGAACGAGCGCCGTTATAGCGCGGCACGTGCCCATCGTAACGGGGAACGTGTGCGGTTGTAACGGGGAATGCGTACCGTGATAACGCACGACACGCCGGTGGTTATAACGCTGTGTCTGAGCAGTCGACGAGAGGTTTGGGGACCCTGGGCACGCACGCTGGATGGCACGTAGCAACACAGTGTTGTCCCACGGTTGTTGCTCACATTAAATTATAATCACGAGGGTTATCGTGACCCCGTGTTACGCACAGATGGGCTGACAGACAGCGAATGCGTAAAAGCTTTTAACCTTAGTTGCTAAGCTCTAAATATATAAAGTGGTTGATCTACCGCAGGTAAGCCTGCATGTTGAATTTCGTTCGCATCGTTCGTAGCCACCCGCGCTAATCGGATGTGCGGGGTAAGGACAACAAAGACTAAATATAATTCATCATCATTATGAGCAGCAGCAGCGATGATTAAATCCATACTCTTTGGTTCTTTCGGTAAAGTCACGTAGGTGAAAACATTGAGAATAAAAATAAGAAATACAAATAACTAAATTAAATCACGACATTTCGGAAGCAACACAAGTTTCCGTCATCAGGTGGGACAACCACAGCAAGATCAAATCCACTGCTGGATTAGGGCCTTACCCTCACACACCCACTCACTTCATCTATCATCTGCTCACCTCAACCACCCACTCACTACCAAACAGTCTACCACCCGCTCCTTCACTCATCCACTCACTCACCCACTCACCTATCTAATCACTCACTCACCCACTCGCCATCTATTCACTCACTTACCCACTCACTCACCTACTCACCATCTATTCACTCACTTACCCACTCACTAACCTACTCACCCATCTATTCACTCACTCACCCATCTATTCACTTACTCACCCGCTTACCAATATATTCACTCACTCACCCACTCACTCACCCATCTATTCACTCACTCACCCACTCACTCACCCATCTATTCACTCACCCACTCACTCACTCACTCACCCACTGACTCATCCACTCACTCACCCATTCACTCACTCACTCACTCACCCACTCACTCACCCACTCACCCATCTATTCACTCACTCAGCCACTCACTCACCCACTCACCCATCTATTCACTCACTCACCCACTCACTCACCCACTCACCCATCTATTCACTCAGTCACCCACTCACCCATCTATTCACTCAATCACCCACTCACTCACTCACCCATCTATTCACTCATTCACCCACTCACTCATCCATCTATTCATTCACTTACCCACTCACTCACCTACTCACCATCTATTCACTCACTTACCCACTCACTAACCCACTCGCCCATCTATTCACTCACTCACCCATCTATTCACTTACTCACCCGCTTACCAATCTATTCACTCATTCACCCACTCACTCACTCTCCCACTCACTCACTCACCCATCTATTCACTCACTCACCCACTCACTCACCCCCTCACTCACCCATTCACTCACTCACCCACTCACTCACCCACTCACCCATCTATTCACTCACTCACCCACTCACTCACCCACTCACCCATCTATTCACTCACTCACCCACTTACCCATCTATTCACTCACTCACCCACTCACTCACCTTCTCACCCATCTATTCACTCACTCACCGACTCACTCACCCACTCATCCATCTATTTACTCACTCACCCATCTATTCACTCACTCACCCACTCACTCACTCACCCACTCATCCATCTATTCAATCACTCACCCACTCACCCATCTATTCACTCACTCACCGACTCACTCACCCACTCACCCATCTATTCACTCACTCACCCATCTATTCACTCACTCACCCACTCACTCACCCATCTATTCACTCACTCACCCACTCACTCACCCACTCACCCATCTATCCACTCACTCACCCACTCACCCATCTATTCACTCACCCACTCACTCACTCACCCACTCACCCATCTATTCACTCACTCACCGACTCACTCACCCACTCACCCATCTACTCACTCACTCACCGCACAACAGTTCACAGCCGCTTCTCTTTTCTGCTTCGTACCTCCCGACGTCTCCTTTTGCCCAATTCAACAAACGCCTTCACGCGTATTGCATCTTCAACAGTGCCGACTGTTGCTGGCCCCCTCGGCGTTGAGCACCTCCGGGCCTGTGCTCGGCAATTTGTCATCATGGTGAAGAAATAAATAGAAGGTCAACACCCTTTTGTTCGTCCGCCGATGCCAACACTCGCTCGTGACACCTCCGATCTGTTGGCGATCAAAGAAATATTTATTTGGCAAGACTCCACAAGCAATTCCTGGCGCATCGATTGCAATCCCGAGGGGGGTGGTGGGTGATGGGGGAGGGGTAGTGGGGGTGTGGGGGTGGTGGGGGGGGTTGTGGGGTGGGTAGTGGGGGGGGGTGGGGGGGATGGTTGGGGGGGGTGGGGGGTGGTGGTGGGGGGTGGTCGAGGGGGTGTTAGGGGGGTGGTGGGGGGGGGGTGGGAGGGGGGAGGGAGGGTAGTAGGGGGGTACACAGCAACGGACACCTTCACCGCCCATGGGCAATTGGCCGTCACATCTTGCCGCTCGGCATCGGGCTCAATCGCCATGGCATTGCCGCCGTGTTTAGCCGCGTGCCCTCTCCGATGCCCCCCCCTCGCCCCGCCCCCCCCCCCCCGAGTTTAATAACGCCCGCGTGGAACACAAGATCGATATCGCTAGGGGGAGGGGGTGGGCGAGATTTATAAAAAAAAATCGGTTGCCAACTCTGCTGCTGCTCATCGGCGAGGACATCGAGCTGCGTGCTGCGGTCCCCACGGCAGACGACGGTGATAGGACACGAGACGGGCGCTGCGGTTGACTAAGGAGATGTTGACCACCTCGCCTGTTATACAGGAGGTCGTGGGTTCGATCACGACCCTGACCCCTGCTGTATGTTTGGAGTTTGCGTGTATTTTTTGTATTAACTATCACGAGTGATTCGCCATCAGGAATCGATAGAGTTTTTTTTGTTTTGCTGCTCATCTCCCTTGAAAGGGAGAATCTCCTCTGCACCGTTAACTACTCGCTCCCCCCCCCTCCCCACTGAATCGACGACGGCCCTGACCCTGTGCCCTGACCCCGTGCCCTGACCCCGTGCTCTGACCCCGTGCCCTGACCCCGTGCCCTGACCCTGCGCCCTAACCCTGTGCCCTGACCCCGTGCCCTGACCCTGCGCCCTGACCCTGTGCCCTGACCCCATGCCCTGACCCCGTGCCCTGACCCCGTGCCCTGACCCTGCGCCCTGACCCCGTGCCCTGACCCTGCGCCCTGACCCCGTGCCCTGACCCCGTGACCTGACCCCATGCCCTGACCCCATGCCCTGACCCCGTGCCCTGACCCCATACCCTGACCCCGTGCCCTGACCCTGCGCCCCGCTCGGTGGCCGCCCCGCAGGTCCACGCCATGCAGTGGGCGGGCGGCTCGCAGGAGATCCCCGTGTCGGTCTGCTCGCTGCCCTGCTTCCCCGGCGAGCGCAAGAAGGGCGTCAAGGGCGTGCCCTGCTGCTGGCACTGCGAGCAGTGCGAGGGCTACCAGTTTCAGCTGGACGAGTTCAACTGCCAGCTGTGCCCCTACGATCGGCGCCCCAACGAGAATCGCACGGGCTGCCGCGACATCCCCATCGTCAAGCTCGAGTGGCACTCCCCGTGGGCCATCATCCCCGTGTTCTTCGCCATCCTCGGCATCGTCGCCACGACCTTCATCTTCGGCACGTTCGTGCGCTTCAACGACACGCCCATCGTGCGCGCGTCGGGGCGCGAGCTCAGCTACGTGCTGCTCACGGGAATCTTCCTCTGCTACGCGATCACCTTCCTGATGATCGCCACGCCCGGCGTGGTGCTCTGCTCATTCCGCCGCCTCTTCCTCGGCCTGGGCATGTGCATCAGCTACGCGGCGCTGCTCACCAAGACCAACCGCATCTACCGCATCTTCGAGCAGGGCAAGAAGGCGGTGACGCCGCCCAAGTTCATCAGCCCCACGTCCCAGCTCGTCCTCACGTGCAGCCTCATCTCGGTGCAGCTGCTCGGCGTGTTCGTGTGGTTCGGCGTCGACCCGCCGCACATCATCGTGGACTACCACGAGCAGCGCGCGCCCGACCCCGAGGACGCGCGCGGAGTCCTTAAGTGCGACATCTCCGACCTCTCCATGATCTGCTCGCTGGGATACAGCATCCTGCTCATGGTGACCTGCACCGTGTACGCCATCAAGACGCGCGGCGTGCCGGAGAACTTCAACGAGGCGAAGCCCATCGGCTTCACCATGTACACCACCTGCATCGTGTGGCTCGCCTTCATCCCCATCTTCTTTGGCACCGCGCAGTCCGCCGAGAAGGTGCCCACCCCCCGCCCCTTCTCCCCCCCCCCCCCCCCGCGTGCGTGTGCGCGTGTATGTGTCTGTGTGAGTGTGTGCTCGCTAACAGCACTTACCCCAACAGTCTGTTGTATACTGAGGATCTTTGTCTTTGCGTGTGCGTGTGTAGAATGGGGTGCGGTAGCATAGTGGTTAGCGCGCTGCGCTACAAACTCGGTGACCCGAGTTCGATTCCCGCTCACGGAACAACACCAGTGACGAATATCTGAACCGGTCCTGGGCGTCTCCTAGGTCGACTCAGCCTCAAATTAGTAGCTGGTGCGGCGTGTAGACATTGCCACTGGGGAAAAAGGTGGCTGGGCGTGGTGTTGGCCACCCAGCCCTCGTGTGCCGTGCCGGCCTTCATAGGTGCTCGCTAACAGCACTTGCCCCAACATTCTGTCAAGGCTATACTGAGGATCTTTGTCTTTGCGTGTGCGTGTGTAAAATAGGGTGCGGTAGCATAGTGGTTAGGGTGATGAGCTACAAAACTGGTGACCCGAGTTCGATTCCCGCTCACGTAACAACACCAGTGACGAATATCTGAACCGGTCCTGGGCGTCCACTAGGTCGACTCAGCGGTGTGTAGACATCGCCATTGGGGAAAAAACGTGGCCGGGCGTGATGCTGGCCACCCATTCCCCTCGTGTGCCGTGCCGGCCTTCATAGGTGCTCGCTAACAGCACTTACCCCAACAGTCTGTTAAGGCTATACGGGGGATTTTTGCATTGTGCGTGTTTGCATGTATGTTTTCATCTGCCAGTCATCTCAGTCAACCCATAACACCTGGGGCTGTCCCTTGACCTGCCAACAGCAAGCCTTCTACACTTCACGCGGCCTCAATGTGCACCTAGCTTGGCACAAGCAGCCATGGTAACATCACCGCCACTTAGTGAATGGCGGCTATTGTTATTGCACGGTGTGTGGCCCTCTCCTAGATCTACTCAGACTAAAACGAATACCTAGTGTGGCGTATAAACATCTGCACTGGGGAGACAAAGGTGGTCAGGCGTGGTGCTAGCCACACCACCTCCTCGTGTACCTTGCTGGCCTTAATAGGTCCTCGCTAACAGCACTTGGCCAACAGTTTGTTAAACACTACACAGGGTGGCCCAAACTTCATGACAAATTGGATTATTTCATTTATTTTTACACTGGAATTAAAACATATCCATTGTTTAACCCTTAACTTAACACTTTATCTGTCATCATTATCAATATTTGTTCTTTTTCTCCTTCCTGGAGGGGTCACTTCAAATTTGTCGTATACAAAACTCAAAGATAACACCTGTAATCTTTAAAAAAAAGTCTTTAATTAATTTTAAAAGAATCCATGCAGCATGCATGATTGTTAATGGGAGCCAATTTGAACATTTGTTAAAACGAATGAAATAATCCTTTGTGAATTGTTAAAATAAATATAATAATCCTATTTTTTTCAACTTTTATGAGCCACATAGCATGAGATCTTTGACTTTGTGTGTGTAAGTCAATGGGTCTCTGTGTGAATGTTTCTCCATATGAGCCTCGAAGTATCTACGTGAATCTGTCGGTCTCTATGCGTTATGAGTCCATGCATTGCTAAGTGAGTCTCTGGATCTCTAAGCGAGCAAATGATGTAGCCACTACGTTTCGCTGGTGATTACAACCAGCTTCATCAGGCGATGTGCAAGAATTGTGTGCGTGCAAACCTCGCTCATCGGCTGTGTCGGGTGGTGGTGGGTTAACGACACGTTTATATATTTACGCGATCTAACCTCAAACGAATATCTATTAGGGGCCGTTTATAAATGACGTCACGCACCTAGGGGGGGGTCAGACATTTGTGACGATGTGTGACGAGGGGGGGGGGGGTTTGAGAAATGTGACGTCACATCAAAATGCGCAACTTTAAATAAATATAGACAACACGTTCTACTTAATTAAATAGACGTTTTAATAAATGTTTTCTCCTACAACATCAGAGTGCAGCGCCACATAAAATACGCACTACAATGACAATAATTTAAAGCGATTTGAAGCATGTTTTTTTGAGGGGGGGAGGGCAGATCTTTGTGACGTCATATTTGAGGGGGGAGGGTCTGACTTTTTGTGACGCCGTGTGACGAGGGGGGGAGGGGTCAAAAATCGTCCAAAATCACGTGACGTCATTTATGGACGGCCCCTTATGAATAATAAAGGTCGCGCGAAAGCCGACTTTGTGGACTGATTGAAGCCACTGCCATCACATTCCAGTTACTCAAAAATCCACCTGCACGCACTGGGCTGCCTCCAAAACCCGGACCTGTGAGCCACCTGGGCTATTAGGATCAACGTGTTCCAATTCCAACTCCTTACGAAGTCACGTGGCTCCTGCAGCCACAAGATGCCGCTACAGTCGCAGCTTTATTTAAAGGATACAAAACAACACGTATGCGTAGTCTGTGATCAAAACCTTGACTCGGAAATCGTGACAATTCATGGAACCGCCGGGTGGTTGGTGAGGTAGATAGTCGAACTTTCACACTTCTACAGTTCGTTTAAGGCCGCGCAAGCGAGCGCTTGTTTTTTATATTCTTAGGGTTTTTTCGGTAAAGTCACGTAGGTAAAAAATTAAAATTAATAAAAGTAAAATAAAAAATAAAATAAAATCACAAAATCATATTTTATTATTTATATTTATTTTTACCTACGTGATTTTACCGAAAAAACCTAAGAATATGAATCTTTGCAGTCACGAAAGCTTCAAATCTAGAACGGTTGTTTTTTTGTTTTTTTTATTTTTGCCGATATATAAATATATATTTTATCAGGTAAGGTCCCACTGAGCTATGTCGCTCTTTTTCGGAAACGACCTGGTCACAAACGACAGCTCAAAAAAGTGGCGTATCATCACGTGGATATTTTTTTTTTGCAGCCATATACTCCGAACGCGTGTTGTTGATTCTAAATGTGGAGGGGAAAAACCGGAGGACCCGAAAAAAAATCCAGGACAACTCCAAATGTACAGCAGGTGTCAGGGTCGGGATCGAACCCACGACCTCCTGTATACCAGTCGTGGTGGTTAACATCTCACCACCGTGGTGCCCTACACACACACCAGGACAACACACGGGAAGATAACAAAATAATTTATTTTTTAAAATACTTTTTTTTAACTCGCTTTAATGAAATGTACCGTACTAGTAATGGCAGAACTCCACGACTCCAGAAAGCAGAGGTGTGGACTCGAGTCATGTGACTTGGACTCGAGTCAGACTCGAGTCATGAATTTGATGACTTCAGACTCGACTTGGACTTGCATAACAATGACTTTGTCCCACCTCTGCCAGAAAGTGACCCCGAAGCTTGCCACAGCGTAAGGGACCGTGGCTAATTACAGCCAACGTTAGTTGAGCGTGGACAATTAGACCCAAGCCGAAACATAACATATAAAAAATAATGTTTAAAAATACTTATTTTATATTTTATGATAGAATATAGTATTGTCATCAGTATGACATAAGTATACCAAGTTTGCAGTCGATACCACATTGGGAAGTGGGTTAAAATTGAGTTACAAGATTTGAGAATACGACAACGACGACAACAGACAGTGAGTTAACTAAAAGCGTGTAAAAAATAAAAATAAAACACCCCATCGCCTCTCCCTGCTGTAGCCTCTCGCAGGCTGTTTGGCAAGTGCTGTTTATTCCGGTTCTAATATGCACCGCACCTTCGTACTCACTGCATTGTTGAGTCAGGACCAGTTCAGATTTTCGCCACCGATTGTTATTTCTCGTGACCAGGGACTCAAAATGCGAACCGACCACTGCCACACCGCTCCTTCCGAACTGATTTAATTTTGTGCGCAACGCACGCGCACCCACGGACGCGCGCGCTGTTCACGCGCTCACGTGACATCACCACCACTCCCCCACTCCCACCCCCGTCCCTGGTTCTCCCCCCCCACCCGCCTGCCTGCCCCCCCCCCCAGGCAAGCGAAGCCGGTGACGAGAGTTCATTAAACACCTCTGGCGCCGCTCGCAGACACTGCCGCACGCGAGCGTAATTTGCTTGTCAGACTTCCCTCCGTGGGTGTGCCGCGCACATCAGGCGCGGAGGGAGAGACACGGACACGCTGGGTGGACACGGCCGGCCCTTGCCTGGCCACGTCCACCCAGCGTGGCTTGTCTCTCCGGCCTGCCTAGCCAGGAATTCAATGAACGTCAGCTACCAGAAACTCACTTAATAGCTGACAACAACAATAACAACAACAAAACTAGATTTGGTGAATTGGAACAGCATTGAATTACAGGGAACCGGGGGCCAGCGCGTGCGTTATTAGATGGAACCTGACTGATTGTTCGGTGGTAGGGTAGTTCACATTTCTAAGTAGTAGTAATACTAAACCAACCGTAGATGTCAATCAAATTGAATAATTGGACCGCGGCGCGTTCATAATTGAAAACTGTTCGCTGGTACTTTTATGCGTGGTTGTTGTTGTTGTTGTGGTTGTTGTTGTTGCTTTAGTTCATGACGCGGGTGGGTTTTTTTTTTTAAACCGCGACTTGAGAGGTTGCACGGTCTTAGTCCCGGTCAGGAGATTTTCTTCCCTAGGACCGTGCAGTCGAGAGAATTGGTGGATTATACGGTGAGCTGTCTGGCTTCGTCCGCTCGTCATCATCATCATTGTTGGCATCGTTATCACCCCCAGCTGTGTTCAGACGCCATGCTCCAGGTCTAACCATTCCCCTTCATGCCTCCTTTCACATATACATCGGTTCCTTCGAATAAGACCACCCATAGTTCATCGGTGGTCTTATTTCATCTTAAATTTGAGTGGATTGTTTGAGCGTCATCGCCCTCGTATGGTGTGGGTTTTCTCCAATTACTCTGACTTTCTTCTGCAAGCCAAACACCAAGCCATGGACATTGACCAAACATCCAAGTGCAGTAGGACACATTCGGAGAGACAATCTTAAGGTTCGGTGAGGCTTTCCTGGATAAGTGCATGGTATTTT